TCCTTGGAGATGGTAGAGAGCATGCGCCAGATGATTCAATTCAAAGCAGCAAAACATGCGGAAATTATCCAGGGTTTATTTCGTCAATATAACCTGCAATATATTTCAGCACATAACCTTTTCAAATGAGAAATACAACAAGCACTTAATAAAGAATTACTACATTGACATTTTACAGTGAATTAGTTTCTACCTCCTGTCCTTTCTATTTTCTAACCTTAAACCCAATGTCAATGGCTAACTCAGTCAATGTCTTCCAGTCAGTCTAAGATAGCCAGACTAATGTTAGTCTACAGACTATCCTATAGGATCCATCGGCTATAGATGGATTAATTTAGTTCATCCACTCACTGGGAAATTATCTGTGGAACGTTTTCCTGCTGCTTGCTTTTGCAGCCCAATGCTGCACAGGGAGGCATTTTTGCTGCGTGTCTCCGTGGGAGTGGGGAGTACCAACATGGCGGGCGGCGGCTTCACTTTTTTTGGCCAATCAGGAATCCAGTGAATAAATAGAGATCAGTGGTAACACCCCAAACTACTGGCTCAGTCTGTTTCCAGAAATCCTATCATCAACTTTGAAATTTAAAATCCCAGCTGAGGTTTTTAGGTCTGACAGAAGACGAAGCTGTTTGCTTACCTTTGAGCAAGATATAGTTTAAAAGGGTCGTACTTACGGTCAATGTCTCTCCAGACCAAAAAACATTTGATCTTGATAAAATAAGTTTATATAAACCAAACACACATCCTGATGGTGTTTAGATCATGAGACTCAATAGAATTCCTGCAGCAGGTGCATTCGACAGACATAAACAGACGTGTGCACCATCTACTGGCAGCCGCCTGAACGCCTCAGCAGCTTCAGCTCCTGCTTAAAGCTGCGTTCACAGCAAAAGTTTTTAAAAACGCTTAAACACAGAAAACTGGACGCTGGATCAAACTATGTCTAAGGCTACGTTCCCACTGCAGGCCTTAATGCTCAATTCCAATTTTTTTGTGAAATCTGTTTTTTTTTTTTTTTTTTGGCGCCGTTCACATTCCCAAATATATGTTCATTTAGGTTGTTGCCTAGCTTCTCTCTCCTGCGTTTAGGCTGCGTTCACACTGCAGGCCTTCATGCTCAATTCCAATTTTTTTGTGAAATCTTTTTTTTTTTTTTTTTTTGGCGTTTCACATTTCCTCACTTTTATGTGATCTCCTGTGTGAACTTCATTCATATTATGCAAGTGTCACGCATGCGCAGTAGAGGACACGATGATGTCACATATAGCGAGTCTGCTCTGTGTTTATGGAAGTAAACATGGATGGTCGCGCTGGAGCTCATCTAGCGATCTTTCCCAACCTTGAAAACACAATCTTTTCAATATTAAATACTGCTCTCCGCATCATCGTCCACCATGGTTGTTGTTTTTCTTGCTGCTTCTGCGTAGCAAGATGAATAGTGACGTTTGTCGGGTATTAATGACGTTCACGTCAGATGAATGTGACCTGGCTGTTCAGACACAGGTCGCCTTTGAAAAGATCAGTTTCGTATCGGATTCAGGACCATATAGCCAAG